CGACTTTTGGCCAGAAACAAGGAAAATAGCCAGTAAATGAGCCCCCCGGGGGCGAGGAGGTTAGGTTAGGCTAGCGGAGCGTGCATTTCTTCGCCTTTTGGCCAAGATTTCGACCCGGGCTGCAGCGCGTCGAGGAGGTGGACTTGTCCTGACCTGAACGTGTGCATTCCGGGAGACCAAGACTCGTAAAGCAGGACCGAGTACTATCCTCTTCGCTGGCAAGTGGAGTCGACAGCCGAGTTGCGAGCGCGCTGAAGTGTGGTCTGGAAACCGTTGGGTCAGGGATCGAATCCCAGCCAAGGTACTTTTTTCCCGCTCTGTTGATCATGTCTTCGGCTTTGGGAGTCAGCGACCGCCGAGATGCACATGTCGACGGGAGCGGGTCAACAGAGCGGAAAAAAAGGACCGTGGCTGGGATTCGATCCCTGACCCGACGGTTTCCGGACCACACCCCAGCGCGCTCGCCACTCAGCTGTCGGTTGCTCCTGTAGACGAGAATGTCAGAACACGGTCCTTCTTTACGGGTGTTGAGCTGCCGTATTGCACGCGTTAAGGGCGGGTCAAGTCCACCTCCTCGACGCGCTGCAGCCCGGGTCGAAATCTTGGCCAAAAGGCAAATAAATGCACGCTCCGCTAGCCTAACCTAACCTTCTCGCGCCCGGGGGGCTCATTTACTGGCCATTTTCCTTGTTTCTGGCCAAAAGTCGACCCGGGCTACAGCGCGTCGAGGAGGTGGACTTGACCAGCCCTGAGCGCGTGCAATACGGCAGATCAACACCCGTAAAGAAGGATCGAGTTCTGACATTCTCGCCGACAGGGGCAACCGACAGCTGAGTGGCGAGAGCGCTGGGGTGTGGTCCGGAAATCGTCGGGTCAGGGATCGAATCCCAGCCACGGTCCTTTTTTTTCCGCTCTGTTGATCCGCTCCCGTCGACATGTGCGTCTCGGCGGTCGCTGACTCCCAAAGCCGAAGACATGATCAACAGAACGGGAAAAAAGTACCGTGGCTGGGATTCGTTCCCTGACCCAACGGTTTCCAGACCACACTTCAGCACGCGCGCCACTTGGCTGTCGACTCCACTTGCCAGCGGAGAGTTCAGTACTCGATCCTGCTTTACGAGTCTTGGTCTCCCGGAATGCACGCGTTCAGGTCAGGTCAAGTCCACCTCCTCGACGCGCTGCAGCCCGGGTCGAAATCTTGGCCAAAAGGCGAAGAAATGCACGCTCCGCTAGCCTAACCTAACCTCCTCGCCCCCGGGGGGCTCATTTACTGGCTATTTTCCTTGTTTCTGGCCTAAAGTCGACCCGGGCTGCAGCGCGTC